AGTTATAGATTTGAGATATTTCTTTTTTTTTAATCCTCACCCAAGGATATGTTTTTATTGATTTTAGAGAGAAAGGCAGGTGGAGAGAGAGAGAGATAGATATATATATAGAGACATTGGTGTGAGAGAGAAGCACTGATTGACCCCCCTCTACATGTTCAACTGAAGATCAATGATGCTCCAACCAACTGAACCACCCAGCCAAGGTTTTAAATTTTTTTTATCCTACATATGAATAGAATCATGTGGTTCTTGTTCTTTCTGTCTGACTTATTTTGGTTAGGTTGGTACCCTCAAGATCTATCCATGTCGTCACAACTGGCAATATTTTATCTTTGTTATGGCTGAGTAGTACATTCCATTGTACATCTTCATTCAATCATTAGTTGAAGGACTCAGGTTGTGTCCATGTCTTGGCTATTGTGAATAATGCTGCAGAGAACATAGGGGTACATGTATCTTTATAAATAAGTGTTTTTAATTTTTTTGGGTAGATCCCCAGAAGAAAGATTGCTGGGTCATAGGGTAGCTCTATACTTCATTTTCTGAGGAAACTACATACCGTTTTCCATAGAGGCTGCCACAACTTACATTCCCAGCAGCACTGTAAAAGGGTTCCCTTTTCTCCACATCCTCTCCAACATTTGTTATTTCTTGTCTTATTAGTCATTGTTCTAAGAGGTGTGAGGTGGATATCTCAATGCAATTTTTTTTGTGGTTGTCTTTATTGTGATATAGTTTACATAGTATAAATATCACTTTTTAAGCTTTGGTTGATGTATCTCAGTGGTTAGAGCATTGGACTGTAGACCAAAGGGCACAGGCCTGAATTGCAGGTCAGATCCCCAGCCCACTGGGGCTATGTGAGAGGCAAGCAGTCCATGTGTCTCTCTCTCCCTCCTTCCCTTAAAAAATTTACTTTTTAAAAGTGATTTTAGTCTGGCTGGTATGGCTCAGTGGTTGAATGTTGACCCTGCACCAAGCTGTCACCAGTTTGATTCCTGGTCAGGACACATGCCCAGGTTGTGGGCTTGATTCCCCAGTGGGGGGCATGCAGGAGGTCGATGTTCTCTCTCATCGATGTTTCTCTCTCTCCCCCCCTCTCCCTCTCTCTCTAAAATCAATAAAGGAAAAAAAAGTGATTTTAGTTGTTTTTAGTATATTTACAGTGTGTAACCATCAATTTTGATTTGCATTTCCCTTATAGCTAGTGAAGTTGAGCATCTTTTCATATATCTGTTAGCCAACTGTATATCTTCTTGGGAAGAGTGTCTGCTCAGGTTCTCTGCCCATTTTTTAATTGGATTGTTTGGTATTGTTGTTGATGATTTGTATGAATTCTTCATATGTTTTGGATATTAATCCCTCATTGGAGGTATTGTTTGCAAATATTTCTTCCCATTTGGTTGCCTTTTTGTTTTGCTTATTTTTTTTTTTTTTATGTTTTATTTTTTGGTGTGCAGAAGCTTTTTTGTTAGATGTAGTCCATTTCATTTATTTTTAGTTTTGCTTCCCTTGCCTTTTGGTGAGCAAAGGTCCATAACGTCAGTACCTGTGTTTCTTTATTGTTTCAGTCTTATATTCCAGTCGTTAATTTTTGTATGTAGTGTCAGATAGTCTAGTTTCATTCTGTTTCACGTGGCTTTCCAATTTTATCAACACTATTTATTGAAGAGGCTTTCCTTTCTTCATTGTACGTTTTTGGCTTCTTTGTTGAAAATTAGTCACCCATATATGTGTGGCTTTATTTCTGGGCTCTCAATTCTGTTCCATTGGTATGTGTGTCTTTTTCTGTCAATACCGTACTCTTTTGATTACTGTAGCTTTGTAGTATCTTCATTTTTAACATAGATATTTGCAGGAATAAAATTATCTTAGTGTTGACTTTGCTGCAGTTTTGGTGTGTTTTTATTTTTATTTTTGTAAAAGAATTTTCTACTTCCCCTTGTAATTTATTCTTTAATCTGTCAGTTTAAGAGTGTGCTGTTTATTTTCCACATATTTTTGGTCTGTCCAGTTTTTCTTCTAATTTTGGTGTCTAGTTTCATTCCATCATGATCAGAAAAGATATTTTGTATGATTTAATTTTTAAAAATTTATTAAGACCTGTTTGTGGCCCTGGCCGGTTTGGCTCAGCGGTTAGAGCATCGGCCTGCGGTCCAGAGAGATCCGGGTTCGGTTTCTGCTAAGGGCATGTATTTCAGTTGCAGTTTGTCCCCGGCCCTGGTTGATCGTGTGAGTGGCAGCCACTCGATGTGTCCCTTTCACGTTGATGTTTCTCTCTCTCTCTCTCTCTTCTTCTCTCTCCCTCCCACTCTATCTGAACAAAAAAATGGAAAAATGTCCTCCGGTGAGGATAAAAAAAAAAAAGACTTGCTTTGTGGTCTAACATATGGTCTATTCTGCGGAATGTTCCATGTGCACTTGAGAAGAATATGTACTCTGCTGTTGTCGAGTGTTATGAATAAGTCTGTTAGGTATAATTGATTTGTAGTATTGTTCAAGTTCTCTATTTCCCTACTGATCTTCTGTTTGGTTTTCCTCTCTATGATGAAAAGCAGAGATTAAAGAATCCAGGTATACTGTATAGTAGAAATGTGTCTTTCTCCCTTTGAGTCTGTGAACGTTTGCTTCATATATTTTGGGGGCTCTTTTTTGTGCATATATATTTATAATTGTTATGTCTTGTTAAATTGACTTTAAAAAAAATACAATGTTCTTGCCCTGGCCGGTTTGGCTCAGCGGTTAGAGCGTCGGCCTGCGGTCCTGAGAGACCCGGGTTCGGTTCCTGCTAGGGGCGCGTACCTCGGTTGCAGTTTGTCCCTGGCCCTGGTCGGTTGTGCGGGTGGCAGCCACTCGATGTGTCCCTTTCACATCGATGTTTCTCTCTCTCTCTCTGTTCCTCCCCCCCCCCCCCACTGTACCTGAACAAAAAATGGAAAAATGTCCTTGGGTGAGGATAAAAAAAAAAATACAATGTTCTTCTTTATCCTTTGTAATAGTTTTTGACCTAAAGTCTGTTTTGTTATATTAACATGGGTTTCTTTTGGTTAATATTTGCATGGAATATCTTTTCTCATTCTTTTACTTTCAACCATTTTCTATGTTTAGATTTAAAGTAAGTCTCTTTAGAGACTAAACTGTATATGTTTGGATCATTTTTAAAAATCCATTTTGCCAATCTCTGCCTTTTGATTGGATAGTTTAATGCATTTACATTTAAAATAATTACTGATAAGAAGGAATTTACTGTCATTTTGCTGGGTTTTTATTTTTTACAATTATTTCTCCTTTATTGGTTTTAGAGAGAGAGGAAGGGAGAGATAGAAACATCCCTGAGAGAGAACATCCATTGGCTGTCTCCTGCATGCCCCCCACTGGGGATTTGGCTCACAACCTGGGCATGTGCCCTGACCAAGAATCATACCAGCGACCTCTTGGTGCACGGGTTGATACTCAACCACTGAACCACACCAGCTGGGTCATTTTGCTGGGTTTTTAAATGTCCTTCCAGCACCTGGCCAGTGTGGCTCAGTGGATTGAGTGATGTCCCATGGACTGAAAGGTCCCGGTTAGATTCCTGGTCAGTGCACATGCCCCGGTTGTGCTCAGTCCCTAGTAGGCGGTGTGTAGGAGACAGCTCAATGTTTGTCTCTCTCTCTCTCCCCAAAATCCACACAAACATATTAAAAAATAAATAAATGTCCTTCCAGCTGCCACCAGAACCAAAGTCCCTCTCTCCCCCTCCCCCCACCCCCACACGGAACCAAAGAACCTGGACTTAATGGGAACGACACCATAACCCTTTCAGAAGCAGAGGGTCTGTTGTCCAGGAAGCTCCTGTGTTGATGGCCCTTACCGCAAATGGTCAAGCTCTTCCGATGAGAACTTGCCTGGTCAGCGCTTCCATATGTCGGTTCCCCATCCCGTTTGTTTTTCAGTCCCCACATCCCCATCGCCTTGAAGTAGAGGGAGCAGAGCAGACAGGAAACAACCTGCTCTAGACTAACTACCACACTGGGGAAGGGGTGGGGCAATAGCAAGTGAAAAATGCCACAAACTTTCCTGCCACTTTAAGATGGCCTTTTCTCGCTCGAGTGTTTGCTTCACTGCTGACACTTGGACAGATGTTCAAAGCCTCTACAAACTTAGTTCAGATAGCTTCCGATTGTTTTCTTGGAGAAATGAGAGCTTGGAGCTTCCTAGTCTGCCATTTTGCAGAATAAAAATGTAAACTCTATAGAGGGTTTTAAAAGGGAAACTGGCACTGTCATCAGTGTTGGTGACTTTGCTGGGGGAGCAATGTGTGTGTGTAGTATGTATATTTGTGAGTGTGTGTTATTTGTATACATAGGTACAGACGTTCCGTATTTTTGTATTTGGAGGTGCGTGTATGTATAGAGATATGTGTATGTGAAAAGACTTAAAATACTGATATCATCTGACCTAGAGATTCAACTCCTAGGAACGTGACTGAAGGAGATGATCATGATATGTAGGGGAAGTTTTGGCTACAGGGTAGTTATTGTCCCCTCGGTTCACAGTAGTGCAGAATAGCAGCGGTGTGTGTCCAGCACCAGGACTGGTTAACCACACGACGGTGGTCCGCGCACTGAAATGCCACATACCCATCAAAACTCCTGTTGAGGGAGAATATTCAATGTCAGTGAACTGATGTTATTTACCACTTAGAAACATCTTAAATCCAACAACATTTCTTTTAAAAGATTATCCAACTCCCTCCCCCCAGTGGTTGCCCACTCCCCAGAACTTCTCCTCTGGGATTTGGACGCCCCCCCCCCCCCCCCGCTCCCGCGCCCCCGCCCCGCGCCCCCCGTGCTCTGGGTGCCCCCGCCCCGCGCCCCCCCTGCCCCCCCCCGCCGGCTCCCGGGCCCCTGCCCCCCGCCCCTCCCAGAGCCCCGCCGCCTGGAGCGCCCGGCGGGCAGCCGGTGGCCGGCGCGAGGCCCCTCCCCGAGTCGCGCTGCGCGGAGGAAGCGGAGGCGGCGGCAGAGCGGAGACCTCGCCGCGCTCATGGCGTCGCCCGGGTGAGTGCGGCGCTGGGCCCGGCGGCGGGGCCGCGGCGGGGCGGGGGCGGGGGGCGAGGCGGGGTGCGGCCTCCCCTCCGCCGCCCTCCCCCGCCGGGCCCGCGGCCCCTCCGGCCGACCTTGGGCTTGGGCGGCCGCGGCCGGGGCCGGGCGGGGGGAGGGGAGCGCGCCCCGGGGCCGTCGTGTCCGTTGGTCCGCCCGCCGGCCGCGGGGAAGCGGCCCGGACGCCCCAGCGGCGGGAGCGAGGGCGGGGAGACCCGCGCGCCGGCCTCCGGGTCCCGGTGCGGCCGCGGGCCTGCGGGGCGGCTGCCCCGCTCCGCCCTCCGCTCCCGCTGCGGTCTCGGTGTTAAAATGTTCTTTTTTCTAGGACATGGTGACACACAGAGTTCACAGTTTTTTAAAAAGCCGACTTTCAAAATGAAACCTCAGCTCCCGGTGATTACTTTCTGTTTGGGTGATTCAGCCCCGAAAGCCGGGATGACAGTCCAACTCCTGACTTCGGCGAGGGGATCGGACTCAAGGTCACGGCCGCCGTGGGCAGGGTTCGCCGCCTGCCTGCTGCCCACCTCCGGCGGCCCTAGACCTCGTGGGTGGGACGGGATTCAAGCTGTGGTCTTGCCACCTCATCGGGGCCCTGGCAGGTGCGGGTGGAGATGGCGAGGCCGGGTCCCGTGGTGAGCCGCGCGGAGTCCGGCTGTCACGGCCTTTTCCGTCCACCCGCTCGCTCTAGGCTTGGGGCGCAGTGGTCGGAGTACCCAGTACTTTGAGCTCATAAACAGAATAAACAAGGGCCCTCAGAAGGCCCGGCTGATTCACCCAGCGGGTCAAGGTCCCGCTGCATCCAGCGGAAGGGCGAGGCAGCAGGTAGCTGAGCCTGCGTGGTGGAGCCGGAGCCTTGCGAAGTGGCGTCCAAGCCCACGTGTAGATGTGGGTCGAAGGGCCCTGCTGGGCTGGCGCGCCTTCGGTGGGGCTGTAGGCCCTCAGCTGCGCCCCTGGGCAAGGTGGCATTCGTGTAGACTTGATCCAGGAGTCTGAAATTGGTACGAACCTGTACTTTTCTGAGGCGTATCCACTGCAAAGCGGAGGTCACGGAACTTTTAGTACACTTTAGGCCATTTTATAGAGAAAACTGAACTTATGCTATGTACAGATTTGGGGACAGCCCACACCCCCAGCGCGTCTGTTCTGCAGGCTTTGCTGGGGGTCAGAGTCTAGTGGGGACACCTGGCCTGATGAGATTCTCTGGCCCGTTTTGGTCAGATGACCAGCAGACACTTGGCCTACTGGAGTCCGCCCAGGAAACTAAGGCCCAGCTAATCAGTTTAAGTTAAAATTGGATATAAAACGACCCCATTAAGGAATGGTTGGTTTATAGTCGATTATTGAAGCACAAAAAGAAATGGCAGGTTCTGTATTTTGGCTTCTCTCCAGCACGTTCTGCCTGAAGCTGAAGTAAGGATGTGTTCTCGCTGTTTGTTGGAGTAAGAGGCGGATCAGCAGAGCGCTTGTCCCTTCGGTTATGTTTTTACAAAAGATGGCTGAAAATGAAATAACTTAGAAGTGGCTTTTTCCTTTAAAGAAGGGTTCCAGTCTGAGATTGTGCCTTCCGAGATGCTCCTGCCTGTTTGCAAGGCCTTTCTTGTTGGAGTTCAGGTGTAGTGGTTCTGTTGTAGATTCTCTACATTGTAGCTTTTTATAAGATTGCTAGTTCCTTATTTTTAAAAAGAAGTCATATATACATCTGGTACATGTTTCAAAAGGTATAGAAGGGAATTAAATGACCCTGTTCTTTGCTGAGACTGTGTCCCCAGGGGGAGGCACAGTGGGGTCCTGTGTCCTTGCTTTGTTCTCATGGGTTTATAGATGTTTGCACATTGAGGAAACGAGTCTTTCCGCCCATCTGTCATTTGCCTTTTGACTTTACTCTGAGGTTTTTTTCAAGTTTTTAATATTTTCTTTTAGTCCCTATTTTGCTTCATGTTCTAATTTGAATCTTTGATCCATTTGGTATTCATTTTGGTGACAGGAGTATTCGGGAGTACCTTTATTTTCCCAGGCTGTCGTAATTGAATAATTACCAGGCACTCGGCTGTGTTGGGCCTGTTCTGGGCTCTGTGCACTGACCAGCACTCGCTGTGTGCTGGTTCCCTCTCGGCAGGTGCTGTCCTCCATCAGTTTATTTTTTTGAATTTTCTGATAATTATCATAGAAATCTTTCTCCACAGAATCAGCTCATCTGGTTTTTGACCCTAAATTCACTGGTAGGCTAGTTTAGGGAGAATGGACTTTAAAAATTATATGAAGCCTTCTTTTCCTCAAACAGCTGGCCTTCTCACTTGTTCAAGTCTTGTATTCTTTAGTATTTAGAGAGTCTTTTCATACGGACGTTGCACATTGATGACACATATATCTAAATTTCTAAATGGGAGTTTCCCATCATATTTTTAAAGTTCTGTTTGTATCCAGGAAGGTACCTGGGTGTCCCCAGGCCACTGTTCTTACAGTTTGCAGTCGTTTTCCAGTTGATCTCTGGTTTTCCAGGTAGGTCCCTCAGCGCTGTAATTATTTTCTGTTATCATGGGTACATCAGCATGATCCTGCCTTTGTTGTGGGTGACGTGTCTGTCTTTAGGGATGGAGGTCTGTTCCATGCAGGGTGGAGGGCTGACTTCCCTGGGCCCAGCAAGCCCCTTCCAACCCTGTGTCTGCGCAGCACCTTTGTGGGGTCCATCGTGTCCCAGGCTGGCACCCTGCTCCAGCCTGTTCGTGATTCCCTCCAGCCCTGTTCACCCAGTCCCTTCCTACCTGATGCCCTGGCTGGTTTGGCTCAGAGGTTGGAGCGTCAGCCTGCGGTCCAGAGAGATCTGGGTTCGGTTCCCGCTAAGGGCACGTACCTCGGTTGCAATTTGTCCCTGGCCGGGTCGTGCAGGAGGCAGCCACTCGATGTGTCTCTTTCACATCGATGTTTCTCTCTCTCTCTCCCTACCACTCTATCTGAAAAAAAAAAAACAAAAAAAAAACCTGCTTGAGACAGCGGCAGCCTGTTGAGCCTGAACACTGGGAGGTTTCCTGACTGTCTTTTGCACATGCTCTGGCCAGTCTGTTGAAATCCTTCACAGAGACTCTCGAAAGCCTGACTCTGAGTCGTCCTCTCAGGGACTGCCACCCAGTCTGATCTTCCTCTCTCATCTGTTGTCAATATAAGACAGGTGTGTCGCCTTTATTCCGAGTATCCTCCAGAACCAAAGCCAGTCTTTTATGATGGCCTGGGAGCTCCAGCTCATCTGACCTCCCTACTGTCTCCCTCCTGCTTACTCTGTACTGGCCTACATGGGGCCTTCCTTGCCACCTGGCCTGTGCCTCTGCCTGGCCACTCTCCCTGAAGAGCTGCATGACTGATGTCGCCACCTCCTGCCTGTACTGCGTGTGCCCTGCTTCAGGAGGTCCAGCCTGAGCACCCTGGAGCTACAGCCGTCTGTCCATCCCATTCACCAGACCTAACACCTTCCAGTGTGTCCTCTACCTAACTTTTTTTTTTTTTATCCTCACCCGAGGACATTTTTCCATTTTTTGTTCAGATAGAGTGGGAGGGAGAGAGAGGAAGAGAGAGAGAGAGAAACATCGATGTGAAGGGACACATCGAGTGGCTGCCACCCGCACGACCAGCCAGGGCCGGGGACAAACTGCAACCGAGGTACGTGCCCTTAGCGGGAACCAAACCTGGGTCTCTCCGGACCGCAGGCCGACGCTCTAACCGCTGAGCCAAACCGGCCAGGGCCTCTGCCTAACTTTTAATGCTTGTTTATTGTTAGTCTTCCCCACCTCATTGGATGTAAGCTAAGAGTAGGGATGTTTGTGTCTTTCACCAATGCTTCCCAGACCTAAGGCTCATGCAGCAGATGAGTGTATGGATAAACCTTAGAGAACACTGCCTTCTGTAAAATTGCTTCATTTCTGTAAGTCTCTCTGCATCCTCTATTAACCTGATGTGGTATGCAGGGCTGGGACGGTGCCTGGTTTTATTGCTCACATTTGTGCGTTCTGTAGAGTTTGTGTAATGAGTGATTATAATCTCTTTCCAACCCAGTTCTAGTGTAAGTTCCTGGAGAATTAAGGCTGCACTTTTGAGCGTTTCCTGGTGTCTGGTGAACCTGCAGAGCATGAACTCGGGACGAAGACGGTGCTCAGCACGTGGTTCTCTCCTCGAGACACCGTTACGTTGGGGTGTTGCAATGTTGTGGCCCAGGGCCCTGCTGGAGGGCACTGTCAGCAGCCAGGACTGTTGTCTGATGGGAGGGTGCCCTTTCTCAGGCCGCCCCCTTGACGAGAGGACGCAGGGGCCCTTGGTCGTGCCCTCTGCACACGGTGGCATGCTTGGGCGACTGAGTGTGTGGCCACGCAGTGCCGGTCTGTCCTGTGCTCTGAGCTCTGGCATCTGCTTTTCCCCACATGCCAGTCGGTGGAACTTTTTCACGTGCGTTTTTTCAGTCCCACTTCTGCATGATGACATTTATTTTATTTTTTGTTAATCCTCACCTGAGGATATTTTTTCTATTGATTTTTAGAGAGGATTGAGGGGTGGGGGCAGGGGGAGAAATCAATGTAAGAGACTCACATCAATTGGTTGCCTCCCAGACCTGCCCCAACCAGGGCTGGGGATTGAACCTGCAACTCAGCAACGTGCCCTTGACTGGGAATCGAACCTGGACCCCTTGGTGTGCGGGCCGATGATCTAAGCACTTCCCTACACTGCCAGGGCTGCATGACGACTGTTAAACTTGAAAATGTGTGGTCACTTGGCAGAGGTGGATGACTCCTAGTTTTGGATGTTGTTGTGGGTTGAACTGTGCCCCCCCAAACATGTTGAAGTCCTAACCCCTAGTACCTGTGAATGTGACCTTTTTGTTGGAAGTAGACTCTTTGCAGATGTGATTAGTTAAGATGAGGTAGCCCTGGGTAAGCCGTGTGCACTGCACTGCTTTGCCGGGGCGGGAACACACC